TCCCGAAGTGTTGATTGTGTGGTTAGCTTCAAAGTTGTTAATAAGATAAATGACAAAAAAAAAAAAGGAGTCAATGTGGTGTGGATCATGGGTGGGCACCATTAGACAATGGGTAAGCACAACAAAAACAATATGAAAATTGTGTATAACATAAATAGCTGATTTTTTTTTTCAAGGTGGGCCAGTGCCCCTCTTGGGCTAGTGCTGGCTCCTCCCATGGTTGGTTGCTATGATTTGGTGCACTGTTTTTGCTATGATTTGTAAGGTGGTTTAGTTGAGAGGTGATAATAATTTCTTGTAATCGTGTTTCTTGTATTGGTTGTTTGTTGTGTTGTGAACTAGGGAACTACTAGTAAAGGGAAAAAAGTGAGGTTGGATTGGATTATATTATTCTAATTATAATTATTTCATGTGATTTTTATATTAGCAGTACAATCAATATTGGTAGGTTTTAATTTTAGCACTGTCATTTGTAGACTGTATGAGAGAATAAATTTGTTGAACAAAATTTGTAGTACTATTACAACACGTGGACTTATTACAATGCAAGTTTACAGGGAGACAAATTTACATAATCAATGGAGCAACTCAAGAGAGCATGTGTGATATACATTAGATGTAGAATTGTAGTAATCAATGAGGGAATTAAGTGATCAGATCTAACTTCCTTCATTGATGAGGAGGAGAAGATAATTGGGAGAAGAAGATAGTGAGGGTATTAATGTAATTTAACTTTTTCTGTTAACAGTGTAATTTAACTTTTTCTGTTAACAGTGTTAGTTGTGTGAATTGGCTCAAAATTATTTGGCAGTTATGTGCTTATTTTGAACTACAAGGGGGCAATCCAAAAGGGAGTAAAATGGAATTTCCCCTAATAATTAAAAGATAAAACATATTTGATCTTACCATCTGTGCCCACCGCTGAATGGGGCTGTTAATCGAACTAAGTTGCTCGAGCTTATCTCGAGTTCAATTCGTTGTGGGCTCGTTCGAGCTCATTCAAATATTGTAATCAAGCTGAATATGAACATAAATTTAGACTTCTTTATAAACAAGCCAAGCTTGAGCTCGAATTCGAGCACCTCGAATGGCTTGACCAAGCTTAGTATTTTTTATCTAGTTTTACTATTATTTTTAGTAGTTCGATTATAACCGTCCATTCCAAAGATCCAACAGTGAGGACAATATATATATTAACCTGTCCAATCCTAATACACCCAAACCCAACTCTACTTCTCTCATTACCTCATCTGCGGCGCCTTCAAATTGAAACGGTCTGCCTCTCATCGGTAATTCTTTCGTGGATCAGGTACATAGCCATTCTATAAAGAGAATCTATATATCATTTTAATAAGGTAGAGGTGGAGCAATTGAGCGACTGGTGTTGTTTGTGCTGGTGCAGTGAACAAACAGTGTTTTTTTGTTTGAATTTGAGAACAATTACTTTGTGCGAATCTGAGCAAATCTGCCTCTCATCGTCTGAATTACTTTGTACCAATCTGTGCAAATCTGCATCTCAGCTGAACAATTACTTTGTGCGAACCTGCCTCTCGATCAGTTTCAGTTTGTGATCAGTTTGTGATTAGTTTCATGTTTGTGATCAGTTTCATGTTGCATTAAGTGGTGTTTAATTTGTTAAAATTCAAGCTTGTTCGCAAGCCTGAATTTGAATTCTTGGATCAAGCTTCATACGAGCTAGAGCTCGGATTCGAGCTTGTTAACATAAAACGAGCTTAATCAAGCCAAGCTTGACCTTTTCATTTTTCATTCAAGCCAAGCTCGAGCAAAAAATTAAGCTTGATGTTCGAGCTCAAGCCGAGCTTGAACAGCTTCCCAAAATGTCAAGCCGAGCTTGAGCATGGTGATGCTTGTTGAGCTTGGCTTGATTATCACCCCTAGTGCTGAACCTCCTCAACACCCCTATAAATCAGAAGAATGTCTTGTTGAACGTCCCTTCTTCCTTATCATTTCGTTATCTCAAAGTCTTTAATCAGGTTTGAAACTCTTCCTTCCACTCCAATTACTCCTCCTTTCTTTCCTACTTAATTCATTCTGGTCATTCTGCAAAAACTTTCCAGCCTTTTTTTTTTAAGTTTTCAGATCTCAAAAAAAAATATATATGTACTTACTGTACACCACTCCTCCTTTTGGGATTTTGCTTTTGTTCTTTTTTTTTTTCTAGTTTTTGATGGTCATGGTGGTCCCTTTTGGTTGTAACTCGACTCGCAAAGTTTCTATCCTTATTGCCAGTGCTATACCACACTCTTCAATTATTATCTCTCTCTCTCACTCGTAGTATCTTCTAACTTTTTTGTTTTATTGGTTTCCATTTCACAGAGTTAGGGTAGAGTTTTTCGTTCAATCAAGCCATCCGATCCGAGCCTTCCAACAAATCCACGGAGGTGGACCACAAGTTCTTCAATGTTGGTCTCCTAGTCGTCGCGACTATTATAGTCGCAATATTGGTATCGGCACTTGTAATGCCCAAATCAAAGAAATGCCTCCCGCCGGTTGTCAAATCCTGGCCAGTCTTTGGCGGACTGGTTCGCTTCTTGAAAGCTGAGGTATTACATCTCTTTTGTTTGGTCGTTCAATTTTTCGGATCTACATTTTGGATTTTTGATGAACTTCTCTACTTTGGTCAATTTTAACTCCACAAATGCTAATTTTAACTTACAACATCTGGTTCTTTGGATCAATGTTATGTGGATCATGGGTCGTTTTGGTGCTTGTTTGGTACGTGGTATAGGTACATAGTACGATACTTTTTTAAAAATGCGACTCTTATGTAAATCCTTTTCACTACTATACAATATTATATATTACAAAACATTCATAAATACTAAGTTAGTTATCATTTATCTTATAGTTGTGCATGATTTTCTACTATCTAAAATAATATATAATTATAAATTTATATACATGTAGTTAATTAATATATATTTTGTATTTGTACTACATGTTCTAAAGCGAATTGATTTAGAGTTAGTATTATAATTTAGGGTCGTCTATTTTGGTGACCTAAATTGCAAACTCACCTCGTTTGGAATTAATGTATCTAAATCGTGAGTTGTTAAGGGTTTAGTGAATTATGATAACTTTGCTTTGGGTACATAGAGAATATTTGCCCTGAGCTGTAGGGTTGTTGTAAGTTGTAACTCCTTTGTATTGTGGCATTTTACCTTACTCTCTTGCTATCTTTGGTTTGGTTTAGGTGCAAGGACAATTTAACTGTTGAATGTTACAATTGAGATGAATTATTATAGAATTTCACAATAACAGAATGATTGGGATGAGCTGAAGTTGGATTTTGTAAATTTTTGTATCCAAATGCGCTCTAACCTCAATTTTGGCTTGTCTACTTTTCAATTTTGGATTTCTCATAATCTCATAAACTAGACTTTCTGATGCTACTGGAAATCTAGTGCGCATCTTTGGCCTATTCATGATTCTTTGCGACCCCTTAAATGCTTATAAATTATGTGGTGATGTGCGTCAGTTATGTGACTTGCCTATGATAGCATAATCCTTGGACATTCTCCTTGAGTTGTCATGGAATTCATATCTAATTGCTTATTGATGTGAGTGTATGGATGTTTGATTTTCTTTTACATAATCATAGTGTGCTAAGATCATAGGGATTCTAGTCATAGAAACAGTCTATCTATATTCGGAGTAAGGTTGCGTACATTTGACTGTCTCTTGACCTCCCAATGATGGGAGACTCGTGCACTAGGCTACCCTATTGTTCCATTTGGAGAATTAGGTTGGAGCTCTTGGGAGGATCTGAGCAGACTATGCTCAAATTCATGCAATTTTTTGTTGTCGTCCTTATTTTTTTGGTAATTTGGAAACAAGCTCATTTCTTTAGATCTTTTGTAGAGTCTTTGGAGGGTTTAACTCATTGATTGTAACTATTATTTAGCTATTTTCTTTTTTACAATCATTTAACTATCGCTGCCTATCTTGAAAAATAGATACATAAAAAAAGGAAATGACACATTTTCTGGTTCAAAGATTATCGAGCTAATTCTGCTTTGGCCTTCTTTATTCAATCATTTTCTTTAGGAATGGCTCCTGCAATGATCTTCTATTGAATAAGATGTTTCCAATCTAGGGATGAATGCGGTTCATGCTTCCATTGTAGCGGTTCTCTTGCATTTAGTCTAGGCTAGACTCGACATCTAGGAATGGAGTTATTTGAAAATTGGCAGTTTTTATAAAGGCAACATTTCTGATATGGAATATAAGTAAAGATGGATACTAGTTTTCTGGGGCAACACATCTGGAAATTCAAAGTTTAATATTTGTTGCACTAGTCTTCCCACCCTTTATGAAGCTGCATGTTCAATTTCTCAGGGTGACTTTCATTTCTGAGTGTCTCTCTCTCACTCAGTGTATGTGTGCATGTTTGCACGCGCCTGTGTTTGTGTGATGGCAAGAGCATCCCTCTTTGCCCTGTGGGTGGGAACATTAAGGCAAAAAAATACCACAAACACAATGATGAAGGCAAAGAACAAAATTGGATACTGACTCGTAAAAATATCTACGTTGATTATTAGTTATATCTTGGAATTACTTGATCTTGAGATTGTCTTTTGCATAACTAACTGTGAGTTTTCTTTTAGGAGATTTGGTGCTAATTAGGAGCTACATGTTTCCTTTCTCTTTGCACTTGACCTTTGCAATAATACTTCTCAAAATGGGGGAACAACGGTGAGGTGGACATAAAATATGAACTAGAGCATCTAATTATCATTACATCCCGTAGATGTCTTTTGGGTGAAGAAGTTCGTAATAAGCTCTTTGATGACGTGTTGGCTCTCTTCCATGATCTCGATAGTGGTATGCTCCCCATCAGTGTTATCTTCCCATACCTTAGTATCCCATCCCACCGCCGCGATGACCAAGCTTGCAAGAAGCTTGCAGATATATTTGCTACCATTATAGCTTCCCGTAAACAAACTGGCAAGTCAGAAAATGACATGTTATAGTGCTTTATGGAGTCCAAGTACAAAGATGGTCACCAAACAACTGAGTCTGAGGTCACTGGCATGCTTATTGCTGCTCTCTTTGCCGGTCAGCACACTAGTTCCATCACTTCCATCTGGACTGGGGCATACCTCCTCCGTCACAAGGAATACATGACTGTTGTGTTGGATGAGCAGAAGAACCTGATGAGAAAGCATGGGAACAAGGTTGATTATGATCTCTTGTCTGAGATGGAAGTCTTGTATCGGTGCATAAAGAAGCTCTGAGACTCCACCCTCTTTTGATAATGCTTTTGCGTAGCTCACATAGCGATTTTAGTGTTACAACCAATGAAGGGAAAGAGTATGACATTTCGAAGAGCCATATTGTGGCCACATCTCCTGCTTTTGCCAATCGACTTCCACATGTATATAAGGATCCAGATTCATATGACCCTGACAGGTTTTCTCCTGGGAGAGAAGAAGATAAGGTAACTGGGGCATTCTCTTATATATCTTTTGGTGGTGGCAGGCATGGTTGTCTTGGGGAACCATTTGCATATTTGTAGATAAGGCAATATGGAGTCACTTGTTGAGAAATTTTGAGTTGGAACTGATCTCACCTTTTCCAAAGATTGCCTGGAATGCTATGGTCGTGGGTGTAAAAAGGAAGGTTATGGTGCAATACAAGGGCAGGGAGCTTTTTGTTAGCTAACTAGTAACCAAATGGTTGCCAGATCATTGTGAATGCTTTGGCTGTTTAAATTATGCGCTTGGCCTCTAGGTTGCCATTACCCCTTTTTTGATATGTTGATTTCAGTGTCCATGTCTTTCCCTTAATTTGTGTTTCTTCAATTGACTTCTGAGTTGTTTTTATTGGATTGTGGTAATTTTAGTTTGTATTGGAATTAGTTTCATCTTATTGTTATGCTTTCATGATGTTAGTAATTTCTAGAAAATTGGTTTTGTTGACTTTGTGTCCAACCTTGGGGTGTTCTTGTTGAGTTTGATTTGATCCTATGATAATCTACAATCATATTTCATTAGTATACAGTGGCACCACACCACCTTGGAAAAGCAATGGACAAAACCAATTGCCCTTCGATGCAGAAGCCTTTGAACGGGTCCTTTTAGGCATTTCAGCCCTCTGACGCACAACTTGTCTTGAAAAGGCTAAAAACAACTGATCGTGCTTATTGTGCCCCTTTGGAGCGTAGAAATCAGAGATAGAGGTCTAAGATTTAAGGTAATAGGTGATAATCCTAGTCCTAATAGCTGTTGCATTATAGTATTAATCACAATATATAATTGTTGAGTGTCCATTTAAATTTCTGATACGCAGTATTGGATGGAGTTCCAATTCCTGTCTATTATCCATAAAAGAGACCAAAAGTTCCTTCTTTTACGAGTAATGGAATCGTGGTTTATCTGATTCCGATTCCAGACAATTGCACATTGCTAAGGACTTTCATTCGACAAAGAATGAGGTCCATTTGTTCATAATACCAAGCTTTTTGTGTTCCTTTTATCTTTTTACTATGCATTTGTGCCCCGAAATACACACACGAGGAAATAATAAATCCACAGTCCACACTCACACTTTTACCACCAGGTACCTGTACACCATGAAATTGTCAGGAAAACGTACACGCTATATACTCTATCACCATGTTGAGATAGGCTATCATGCCTTGACATAAAATAATGGGCCTTAGCAACATTACTTGTCAAACTTTCTTACTTTCAATCTTTGATTTTGTTGTGGTAGGTACCGACCAGTTTTGATAATAGTAAAATGGATGAATCTTCCGTGACAAATTCAATTTGCAGACCAGATCAAGTTCGAGAGTATTTATAAAAATCTTGCTAAATGAGAATTATAAAAACCCAACAATTGTTCGCTCGCTCGCAAGCGTATGTCGATTCATCATCAACAATCACAAGAAAAAGAATTTGATTTGGTTGATCGAAGTCAATGTCCATGTACACAACTACGAATGCCTTTATAGTCGAGAGTCTAATAAGAGTTTCAATGTCTCAAAAGAAATCTCAGACAGCTTTAAGTTCTTGCTGAAAAGTCAAGAAATTGAGCCCTTTCTCAAATGACACTTGTCATACATACAGTCATCTGTGAACAAGCAAAAAATAGAGCAAAAAAATTCTCTGGTTACACCGCATATCTGTCTAGGACCTTAGGTTTCAAAACGAATAGCAATTATAAAATGTCTCCCCCACAAAGGTTATCTTATGACTTCTCTGGACAAAACTAGAACTCATAAACAGTGTACTATAAACAAACATGTTTGAATTAGACTTAATATCACTAACAAGCATCTTTGTTGTTCCAATGGTGTTGTCCACCCAGTGGGTTCAACTAAATTGTTATTCAGTTTGAAATTATTTTTACAAGCTCAATATCAAACAAAAGAGTTTTGTCTATAAGTCCTTGGTTCCTCAGCACAAAGTCCAAGGCTCGTTGCCCCTGTGAAGCACATCAACATTAGGCAACTTCATGAAAAATTAACATAATGCAAGTCTGCTAGGAAGAATTCAATACCGAAAATGTTGTTGGTCTTGGGCCTCTCTTGTTGAAGTCATTCTCTGGATATCCTAGTTCTGGCGGCACTATGATCCTGCACAGTTTGTCAACCAAACTGTAAAAAGCCATCCCTAAAGTACGTATGCGTATTACCCTACTCCAACTGTGCATTCTAATTCTCTCTCAAACATGGCTGAAGTGAAAACAAAGGAGTACAAAATTCTGGCATGAGTAATAAACAGCTGTAGAAAGCCAAAACAAGACTAATAGTAACTTCACCAAGAGATTTAATATAGAAACAATGCATCAACTAATGAGGCGAAAGAAACTGGAATCAGTAATAAAAAATAGGTGGGTCAACTTCTTTTCTTCTATATTTTTATTATCTGGTTGGTAGACATTCAAAGTCATTGGTTCATGTAGATGGCGAAGAACTCTTTCTCGTGTATGATTGAACTTTTTGACTCTCTGTCCTCCTAATTGTTTGCTCACATTTATGTATTATTTGAGCATATATAAAATTTTGCCATTCACATGCCACTGGAATGTGTGCGAATGTGTGATTGGGGCTACGTGTGTGTGGTGGTACTATTTAAACCAGTTGATCATAAAAAACTACTTGCTTCAAGAAGGCTGATACATCACCTTCTAATGCCACCCAGAGCCATGCCTGAAACAGCTTCCTCAAAGGCTGGTATCACCTGAACACATCCAGGAACCAAGCACCATAAGAAGCTCCACCATGATTCCCAGTTACAAGTCACTAATAATGCTTCTTCATTTCAAAATTAGTTTAGCACCATAAGTTTATTCCTATTTCCCTTATGTTGTAACTACCGACATATTATGGTGTAGAATATACATTAGAAAGGGAAGAATCAAAGCTTCCCCAAAAAAAGTAATAAACAGAACAAACGTGATGCCCCATGTCAATGGATCCAATATGTCCTAATCATCTTGCCTGTCTAGAATTCAGAATGGAGAACAAACTTCTCACCTGTTGGACACCTATTTTGAATTTGTAGAAGTCCTTATCATCCCCCTGCAAATTAATATACACAAAACGTCATATTTTGATCGACTATAACATCAAGTCCTCCTTATATGATGAAAATGATGCAATACCTCAAAAGAACCACCCTTTGTCTTGTTTCGAGCTTCAAATATCCGTCCATAATATCCGATGGTGTAACCATCCCAATCAACCTAAAAGGCATTCATGATTCAGAAATTGCTTCAAACTTTCTCTTTTCTTCCTTAAAACACATCACAAAAAAAAAAAGAAAAAGGATGGAGTCAACAAGAAAGGTTTCACAACCACAAATTTGTTTCTTTCGTTGGTTCTTTTCTTAATAAATTTTCTTTCTTTCTTGGTTCTATTCTTGATATTACTTTTTTAAAGCTCAAACGATCAATAATATGTAAAACCAAGTTTCTAAAATGCATACTTGTTAACAATTAAACTCCAGTCTGAATATCAAAAATTTACATTTACATTGTTTTTCTTCTTTTGTTATTATTTTTTTCTTTTTTGAGTGTATCTGTGTGTGGTCGTGGTTGTCAGCGTTTTTTTTTTTTTTTTTTTTTTGGGGGGGGGGGGTTGGGGTGGTTGGGGGGTGTCATTACTAGCCATCCAGCATCGTAGATATACAATGAAATTTAAAAATAGGGAAAAACTTCAGCCACATGTCTATAGTTTGTCACATCTGTAAGGGCATCCTTTGCGGTATCTGCAACTTCAATGTACTCATTTGTCTTGTATATAAACGTTTCAGTCATACACCTTACTGTGATCGCAATACTAAAAAGTTAAAAAAGGTTCTGCATCATACAAAATTCCTTTAAAAATGCTAATATTACCCCCGTAGTTTTCTTCTCCAAAACACATCAGATCGTTCACTAAAAAAACCCCCTTCGAACACAACCTAGGACATGACAATTCGAATGACAATCTAAAATACCAAAAACACAAATATAACCCAAACACCAACTTCAATCCGCAATGCCACCCATAACCAATGCAATCAAATACCATGCCCAATAGCTTGCTTGATTGGGAGACTACTATAATCTTCTGATAGTGTATGTCAATTTCAATCAATTAGCATTATTCAGTCAGTCCTCTTGCTCAATTCCATAGATTCGCCATATACTCAATTCAGCCCATATTGGCAAAAGCAAAGCATGGCCCCCACTCACACATTTGTTTGAGAGGTCTCACTCGAAACCCAGAGTGGCAAAGGTGGTTGAAGAGAGGAATTGGAGGCGATGTCCCAATAGCCCTGTTACAAAGGAGTGCGGTAGTAGAAGATGATAAGGGGTGAAGCGTTGAGAGTATGGAGTAGGCAACAGTAAAGGGAGCTGGATAAAGAGTGGAATCAAAAAATATGTTGCAATCAACGGAACTTCAATCGGTAGACAGTTCTCAAGCAATTGCTTATGAATGAGTCCTAATACCTTGTTTCAAGACTTCCGTGGATGAATTTTTAAAGTGGTAGATACACAAAATAATTAATCAATAAAAATAGACAATTTTATTAATTCAATCAAATGAGTTTCAATTACAGAATGACTGATGTAATAGCTTTCGATTACAACACTAACTACTTCCTAAAAATTAACTCTAGCACTGCTCTTACATACCCTGATCGTGGGTCTTGTAGGAGATTTGAGTTGTCCTTCAACTTCTTTTCCTTCTTTTATAGCCACTCCCTTTGACGGTTTTTCCTTATTGACAGTTAATTGGCTTTGTAATTCTCAGGTAGTTATTCCTTATTTCAAACTAGAGTTGTGGCTAATTACTTCTCGCCTTTTCTTCAGATCTTGACACGTGGCAATCCTCTAATAATTTTAGACTTGCCAATAATACATGCATCAAATGCTCTCATAATTTTGTATTTATGTCCACACAATGCCCCCTCATTTAATTGAGTTTTATTCTTAATTAACTTTAGGGAAATGAATAGTCATTACCGTTGCATCCTTTAAACATGTTTAAAAACTTTTTGCGATTGAACTGTTCACTGAACTTCCCTCGTCTACTTCCTTTCTTGTCTCTGAAAACATCTAGCAATTTTTTCTCTTTCTGATCCATAATGGCTCCCAAAAAGCAAAACCCTTTATCTTCAACTACCTCTAAGATTTCTTTCTCACCAAGGTAATTTCCTGAAATTAAGTAAGCTGCCAATGAATCTGTAGACCCAAGGGTTTTGATTCCTACCCCTAACTCAAGTGGGGTTTTTGCTCTAGATCTTTCCTTTAAATCGTATGCTTGGGACGAATTTCTGATTACTAACCCGTTCACGAAGACAACCCTAATACTGAACCAATCGCAACTTTCATGGAAACGATGGAACCAAGAAACCAACCCACTCTGATCATGGATCAACCCTAACTAGCGCTAGGTCAATTGGGCCACCAAGATGGAAGTTCTCTATACCTCTCAATGGCGAAGACTGGGTATTCTTGAAATGATCAAGCTTTCCACCTAAGACCTGCATATGAACTGATGGCTAACTGATGCTAGTGCATGCTTTTGGTCCCAGTCATGCAACACCAATGCTTCTTCCCATAGGCATGATGTCCCCAAGGATTTTAGATGTCATTTTTTTAACTGAGCTCCCTTGGTGTAGAGGTGAAATTCTTGTCTTTCTACAAGTTTTGGTAGCAATTTCTTCACTATCCCTTCTAGCATAGGGTATAATGATCTCATTAACCGTTTATTTGCTTCTCACTCCCCTACTTCATCATTCGCAGAAATCGTTTTTTTTTCTACTTCACTAGTTATGTTGATTTATTTTATGTGTCTCTAGGTTCAAAGTGACTCGAGAGTATGTATAGCCATTCAATTGGCTAGAAAAAAAAAATTTGTCATAGCCCTTTTGGTATTGGGTGCATTGTATAGGGGCCGCTTTAACCTCATTGAGAATAGGATCACTACTAGCTATGGGGGGCCTTTTTGGTTTTTTCAGGCTTGGCTTTATGCCTATTTCCCTAAGGTTTGACCCTCCGCTACCTTGCCCGATCCTAAATTCATTCCTTTGAATTACGCTCATCAATTCCTTTGTATCCTAGTTCTTCGCACTGAAAAGACTTTTAATTCTTACTTCAGCACTTTTTTCAATCTTCCTTTAGACCGAGATGATGTTGTACACCCCATTTCATAATTTCCTTTGTTTTGCCTCTCTTCCTAAGCCCTTTTTTGATGATCTAGATACTTTTTCAGAAGAGGCTATTGAATCACATCGTCTCTTTTGGGGTAGTGTTCTGATCCATGAGCAAGCACTAGTTCCAGAATTGTATTCCTTTCCCTTGCATGCATCCCTTTATCGATGAGCCTATAAGTGAGAGGTGAAAGATGAAATCTGGTACCTTAATTACCCAGATCTCCTAGTCTTACAAAAACTCCCTAGGGACCTTCCAATTCTTTCATTTTAGTTCTGATCCATCCTCGTCCCCTTTTTTGGAGAATGGTGGCAGAATATTTCTACCTTGCTTTTTATTGATCTTCTAGAGTAATATTTGTCCAGGCTCTGTTTTGACAACAGACACACTACTTACACTCCTTCTAATCGCAAGAAGATAACTGTCGAAACCCCTCCCCTTCCCCCTACTTCTTCTAACAAAAGGAAAACTATCTTGTTAGAAACACCAAAAAAGAAAAAGCAAGGACCTCCTTTCCAAAATTGTTGCAGTCTGTCATAGATGCTCATCATTCTCTCTTACAATCTTCTAAGAAAGCTAGAGCTCATCAAGCTGACGTCAACATTGCCTTGCCAACTACTGTCAATGACCAAGGCACAGAGGAAGTTCCTCTTATTCGCAAGAAAAGGACAACTTCTACTCCTGTGAATGCCCTAGAAGCCACTTCCAAACAACTTACTTCACCCTCCAATCCAACAGTCTTGGAGAAGGCTCAAGATACACTCCCTTCTCTCCACTGGGCCAACTTGTTCCTTCTAACAAACAGACTGGCAAAAGATTCAAAGTGGCTACGAAGGTGCATGAACCATTTTCTTCAGCATTCTTGCTTTCTTTTTCTGACTAAGCATACATGTCCTTATTTCCTCTATCTTTCTTTTTTGCGAAAAGGGACCAAAGAATTACCTACACCTTTAAAAACCATCGATCTAGTGCAATCTATCTCTCCTCCTCTTACTCAAAGCGGCAACGTCCTCCTCATGAACTAAGGGGAGAACATGCTGGCAGCTATAGTAGTGGCTTCTCCTATCAGCCAATTCATGCCTCCTCCAGCTATCAAGGATCGCATAACCACCCGTCAGCCTCATTCTCCTACTAATACTAGTGTAAACCTTAAAGAATAGATTAACACCAAACTTGTCATCCTCCCTCCAACACTCCCAATTGAAGATCCAATCGATCCTTCCAACTTAGGTGTCCTTCTATAGCGTCCTCTCAACCTACCTAACTCTGTTCAGGAAAAGGCTGCCCATGAGGATTCCTCTACGCAAACACCCCCTGACTAAATCTGGTAATAAGCCACATCAATTAAAAAAGTCCCTACCTTCTACCTCTTCTGTAAATAAGGTATATACCTTTTTCATTTGCTCATTTCCCCTCTTTCTCTATATCTACTCCACTAATGAATGCCCCTCTTTTTCTCACAATAAATGCCTGAATCCATATCTCATGTTTCCACTTCTGATCTTGATATTAAAGCCACTTATCAGAAAAAAGATAAATTCATGAAAGTAGTGGACTCCATGTCGACTTCAGTTATTTCTCTTCCACCCATCGATGATGCCTTACAGTAAGAATTTTCTCTTCTTTTGTTTCAAATTACTGGAGTTGTCCTTTGATCAACTCATTGAGACTGACCTTACCTCTGTGGACTCATGTTTAGCCAAAATCTCTATTATTTCATCAACTTTCTTCAACGAACAACAACAAGAACAAGTAGCCTACATGAGTGCTCACCCATAAAGGAAGATCTCCCAAGAAAACTAATTCAAAGATGAAGCAAGGACCACAATCAGTTTCATTAATTCTATCAAAGACTTCGCTCCTCAGCTTATTTCCAATAAAAAAACAGAGAGAAGTTGAAAGAAAGAGATGTTCTACTATCCCAGAAAGAAAGAGCTCAAGGAAAAGCTATCAAAAGTGATGGAGGAAAGCTATGTAAGAAGGCAAAAAGTAGAGAACTTGCTTCTTCACACGAAATATCTATTGGCCTCCCACCAAGATGGAAGTGGCAGGGTATTGCCTGCAACCGAGAGTTTGAAACATGCCCAACAGCAACTACGCTTGCTCTCAAACGAATGAGATACTTTCAAGCTCTATTTTTCTTTATAGATTCTTATAACCTTTGTATATTCTTCTCCCCATTTTTTTTTTGTACATAACCATTTGGTCCACTTAATAGGAGATCATTCCTTCTTTATGTGTGGCCACCTATTTTTCTTTATGTTTGGGTTAATGCATACGTTTCCATCATAATGGAGATACCTTTCCACTCCAAAGATGGCAAGTTTTTTTTCTTTTTTCAAATAATTTTAACCAGAAAAATCAACCTCACAGTTACCTAAATTGAATAATGACAAGATAGAACAATACTTTCAGAATTCTTGAAGGAATATTCTCATTACAGAACCAAAGTCATACCAAAGCCATCGACTACTAGCACATATATTCAAGAAATCTATATATGTCCTTTCATTTAAACAAAAATCTTAAAGAAAAAGCATTAGACACTAGTCGCAATGACATGGAAGATCTATCCATATATCACCTTGTTCGCTTTTTGATTGTTGCTCTTCATC